TATCTTATCTGTGTCACTCACTCCAGGCTCTGATCAAGGAACCTCAATAAATAAGGCAGTGATTGATTAATTAGTTAGTCCAGGTTCTTCACCATTATGGTGGAGATGCTAAAATCGGTTTTGCTCAGTAGTTTAAAAATTAAATAGAAACTATATTTTAAACAGCAGGTTAATGCCTTATAGCCATCAGAGCTAGTGTTAATTCCCTTCCTCAGTAAGATGTATCAGACAGAACACAAAGGCTGAAAATTCATGGTATATTCAGGAAACAATGTGGAGTCTGTTGCAGCCAGAGCCAGTAGGTGAGAAGCCAGAGGTGATCCAGAAACTTGTTGGTCTGGACCATGCAAGGGCCTGCTTGCCACCTGCAAATGCACCATCTACACTGCATTTCACTCGGCAGCAAGATGATGTACACTAGCGCCAGGTCGGTGCCTGCAGAAGTGGAGGTGGCGGCAGCACTTACCTCTCTCTAGGCAGCTGGTGGTTGGGATTGTGGCGACAGCGTACACTGAGGCCGAAAAGCTTGCGGGCAGTGCGTTGGATCTTTTGTCTCTGTGCTTCTGTGGCACTCTGCAGGAGCTTGTAGCGGTTCTGCAGGTCCCAGTCATTGCCCCAGTGCTGATGGATGCTCCCGATGGTCAGGAAGTGGTTGCTGGGGAGGCGCTTCATAAACGATTTAAACTCATCTAGTGAGAGAGAAAGGCCGAGAGAGAAGAGCTAAACATGACAGCAGCCATCTGACATCACCTGGAATGCTTGGTCTTGCCTTCCAATAAGGCAGGCCTGCAAACGTAATTTTGTTTTCCTGCAGGCCATAGAACATGGCATTAGCCTATCTTTCCCCTACCAGAAAGGGCGAAAGCCACTGTGCTTTTTTTACGAAGGGAATCTGCATACTGTATCCTTGCTTAAGACAGGGCTTCCCACAATTCTGGCATCAGAAAACCAACTTTATAGTAATGTTCATATATTATTATAACTACTTAACATGTTATTTGAATCAAATCATTATTTTTAACTTAAAAATAGAAAACAAGGCCGGGCGCGGTGGCTCACATCTGTAATCCCAGCACTTTGGGAGGCTGAGGCAGGTGGATCACAAGTCAGGAGTTTGAAACCAGCCTGGCCAACATGGCAAAACCCCATCTCTACTAAAAATACAAAAATTAGCTGGCTGTGGTGGTGGGCGCCTGTAATCCCAGGTACTCAGGAGGACGAGGCCAGAGAATTGCTTGAACCCAGGAGACAAAGGTTGCAGTGAGCCGAGATTGCACCACTGGAGTCCAGCCTGGGCAACAGAGGGAGAGTCCAGCTCAAAAAAAAGAAAAAAAAAAAATCTAAAACAAAATGTTTATCAAATTCGCCAGAGAAAATCACTATTGCATGCCTCCAGAAGAATGGTAGCTATAAAAATAAATATGATAAAAACAATGTTAATAAATTCTAGTCAGACACTGTTGCCTGCCAAATGATCAAACCTCCATGCCTCTCTCATGTTGAAATACAGTAAATTAGCAAGTGTTCAAGAGGCGTTAAAGGCATGCTAGCACCAAACTGAAACTTTCTCTTTGATGTAATCTGCAGGTTTGACAGAGAACTGAAATGGCTCAACTTCCCCACTCCGTGATCCAGTGTGCTTTGAAGTTGTACATGTGTCCCATCTAGCATCATCCCACATTTCAAAAAACTTCAGCTTAAGAGATGGTGACAAACTCTTGGGTCTCTGGGGTAAAGGTTTCTGCCTCAGTTTGTGATGCTGTTTCAGAGTGTCAACTTGGCACAGCCATAAAAATTATCTCGTTCAGCTTTCTTGTTCTACAAGTAGGAAAACCGAAGCCCAAAATAGGAAAATGATTTTCTAAAGGTAATGTGGCTGATAAATGACAAGATCCAGGTCTGTGTCCTGAATTTTTGTTTTCTAATCTAATAATCCAATCTGCTGTAATTCTAATCCCTATCACCCCATTCCTGGAAAATTAAAAAATCAAGGGGTTGATCATTTTGTAGGAAAAAAGGCTAATGGTTGGATTTATATAAATATCATAAATCTTCAGCCTAACACTTTTACTTCATATTATAAAACCTCCAAGGACATTTTAGTATACTATGCATTTAAGCTTTCATTTTATTTTTAAAAATGCTTACATAGCTCTTGACAGGCACCAGGCACAGTCATAATCACCTAACATATATAACCACATTTTATAGCAAACCTATGAGGTAGGTATTTTAGAGCCCCATTCTAAAATTAGGGCACAGAGAAGTTAGCTACCTTGCCCAAGGTCAAATGGCCAGTAGACTGGAGAATTAAGGTCTGAGTCTGGCTCCAAACCCTGTGTTCTTAGTTAGTATATTATATTTCCTCTCAACACATAAAAACGGGCAATCCCTAGGCTCAGCACATTAGGAGAAAATAGTAAATAAAAGGCGATAAAAAAACAGAAGCTCTGACTCCTAGAAAAACCTCAGGCACTTCATTACAAAGAGACAGGCAAGAGTTGGAGTCACATCTGAGTACTGCACAGCTGTGGGACCCTTATTCTCTCAAGACCTTAGTTTCCCCATCTGCTAACAGGAATAACGGTATCTAATCCAAATGTTGAGAGTGACATAGTGGCCTAGTACTACATCTACCTAACTAGTTTCTGATACACAGAAAATACTCGATTGATGGTAGCATAAGACTGACAGGATGAAACAAGCCTCTACACTGATCGATGGATTCAGTGAGCTGGCTGAAGGCAGGAGACAGGCCCTGATGACTCTCCTATTTGGGGCAGCTGGGCTCTCCTCCCATGGAAAACATAAAGCTGCTCTTGCAGAGGGCTCTGTTGATGTCAAAGGGAAACACAGGCCTTCCAATGAACCCAAATTTGGGTCTTAAAAGAAAATGGAATTTAAGGGTTAAATGCATTAACTTTCTTGAGTAAAAGTAAAAGTACTCCAACCAATCCACCAGGAAGGAGATGCAGATCGTCATTCATGTATAGAAACTAGGTCCTATTTGCCACCTACACTCTGGAGCCGTCAAGGAAGCAATGCCTTTTACTTTGGCCTGGTCATTAATCCCTCCAAATCACCTGGGCTGAGTAGTGAAGGTTAAGGGCTAAAAATGAACCAAAGGAGAACTCATATGCACAAGCCTCTGATGCACATGTGGATGAATGGATTTATCTTAAAGGGTAAAGCCATTTCAAATACAGAAGCACAGGCAATCTAGAGGGAGTGTATGCCTTATGGGGAGAAAGTGTGACATAAATCATTTTCTTGGCCTGTTCAGCTTATTCAGTGACATCTCAGTTTTCTGTGTTTCCTCACCCACCCACTCAAAGTGGTTTCTATTCCTTGGAAATAAGGATTGTATACTAAGGAGTCTTATTCCTTATACATATAGCCTAAATTCCCTCTGTTTCTTAGCAATCGGTGAAATCTTTTTGCAAAAGCATTTTATCAAATGCTTTCTTTGTTTGGGGCCAAATAATCATCATAGTACATTTTCAACATGAACTTCTCTTTTATGGGTTCTCAGGATGGTCAATGGACTAATGGGTGTCGTTATAAGGCATCCACAGATCCATTTGAGCTGCACAGCACAGCAAGAGCAGAATCCCTGATGCATTCTGGGTTCCCAGAGCTGGTTTACAGCTTAGAGTTCATGGAAACCAGTTATTTTCAAATACTGTTCCACAGAACTCTGCTTTTATCTGTGGTACACAGTGGCTCCAAGGTATGATTTTGCTTGATCAAAGAATGTCTTGTCTAAAAACTTGAATAAATTCAAATATTAAAAACACAAAAATGCCCTCTCATTTATCAGATGAGGGAACCTCAGGCCTAGAGGGCAAAGGAAAGTTTAGTAACCAAAGCTGCTGTGAGCAGTAGATTTGGCATCAGGAATTCCATTACCAATCCTGCAATTTACTAACTGTGCAGCCCCAGGGAAAACACTAAGCCTTGAAGGAGGATTACAGAGGAGGCGTTCCCTTCTCCATAATACAGAAATGTTACTACTTCCTTTAAGGTGGCTATTACAACAGATTTAAGAAATATAATGTTGTTTTAAAGACAGTAACGCTCTATGCATAAGCCCATTTATTTAACAGGTACTTGAGTACATATTACATGCTAAGTGCTTGCTTGGCATCTGGGAAGTCTCCAGGATTCTCAGGCTTATGCTATATAAAAGTGAGCACATGGTCTTCTTCCCAAATCTTTCAGGGTGTCCCAGCTCAATGAAGATTACCAACATCTATTCAGTTTGTCTAACATGCCTATCAAAGGAGGTTTATGAATATCACCTCAATACCCCCTTTCTCTTCAACTCTTGTCGACAATCCAACATCAAGCTCTGCCATTGTTTCCTTCTAAATATCTTGGCATCTTGGCACACTTCCTGTTTTTACAACTTGTACCAACTCCCTAACCCACCTCATGGTCATCTCCCTCCTAGGCCCCTTGTGCCTCCCATTGGTCTATCTGCACCCACCTTCTGATACCTGCACCATAGTCAGATACTTCAATTTCTGCTCTTTTTTAAGGTAGCCTTCCTTGACCACATTGACCCCCCAACTCCACATCATTTGTTCACAGCAGCTCATCCTTCTTTACAGATATAACCTTGCCATTTCCTAATCACTGGCATGGTTACATAATTAACACCTGATTTTCCAACAAAACTCAAATGTCCTTGAAGCCAGAGATCCTACTCTGGACTTCATCTGCTTTAGTAGCTTGGGTGACTGTCTTTCCTCCCCTGAAACTCATTTTTCTGAACTATGATATGCATAAAATAACTAAGTTAACAGAAAAGTGACTTTGAGCTTTGATAGTCTGTAGATTCTTTGGATATCTATACCTCTATGTATATGCACACACAAATAAACACATAGAGCTATGTGTTTATTTATAGAGACAGACAGAAGCATCTGAATACACACACACACACACACACACACACACACACACACACAGCCCAAGGAATCAATACAACCACCTCTGACTCTTCCCTCTCCAGAGGTTTCCTATGCAGATTTATTCTTTCTGTCTTCTGGGTACAACAGAAACAATACATCATATGACCACAAACTGGATTATGCTATTCATTAATTTTCTTCAGTGGAGATTTATTGAGTGCCTGATCTGTGACAGCTATTATACTTGCATCTGGACCCTCTAAAGTGGAAGAGTCAGGGTCACTGAACTTTGCCTCGCAGCAGTCCTAATTCCAGTTAGATTAGCTCCCTTACAGACTTGGCTCAAGGCCACTTATGCAGTGGCACTGAGTTAGACCCTCTACCTGAATTCTCCAGGTCCTTATAAGCTTCGGTCCAAGACTTGGCCATGTTGGCCAGCGTGTACTCCATGATCTGGATGTCTGTGATGGGGCAGTTGCACTGCGGATACTCCTCGGCACATTGGCATCGACACTGGCTATTCTGGCACAGGTACTCCCCCTCCCCATTGCACATGATGTAGCTCAAGGCCGACTGGACAAACTTCTCTTGCAGATACTGAGGAAAGATTATCTGAAGACCTGTTTGAGAATAGCAAGAAGGGAAAACAGAAAGGTTAAAAAAAGGTGTTTCATTAACAGTTTCCAGAGGTGACACATAGGAATCTGAAGCTGCTACATTTCTCCCTGTGTACTGGAACCAATATATTTCTGGGCCAACCTAGATAAAGACAGGCATTATCGGTGAGGCTTCCAGTTGCATCAGTTTTACTTAAACTTCTCCGGTCATGATCTTGGCCGTCTCTGAAAGGCATAGTCTATTCTGTTGTAGTGGGATTGAGGCTAGAGCCACATATGGTATATACCTTTTCCATTTGTGGAGAAAACTCATATTGAAAATACAACATTATTGTTTATCATTATTTCCTTAATTGCTTTCCTTAAATATTTGTAAACCCTATTTATGAAACGCAAGTCCTGAGGTAGGTACCAGGCCCACAGAGATTTAAAAAAAAAAAAAAAAGATACAATCCTTGCCCTTGGGGAGCTTACAATGTAATCAGGAGGCACAGACATGGACACACATCATCATAACATGGCTTTGTAGACCTATAGCAGAGACAGTCATAATAACATTGTTTAGAGAGCAGAGAAACCTTCATAGAGGAGACAGAATTTGGGCTGGTTGAAAACCAAGTAAGAGATCACCAGGTTAAAAGAAGAACAGGAAGGACATTCTTAAGAGGAAAGACATCATTTGTCTGAAGATTCCTAGTGAAGGAATGAACTTGGATGAATGAGTTGCCTGTGCTGTAGAAAATAGATATAGAAAGGGTCAGAGGCCAGTGTGCAAAGGGCTTTCTTATATGCTAGGTAGTTTGGACATTATTCTGTGGATCACAGGTACACATTGGTAGTTTTGAAGGGTATGAGTAACACAATTAGAGTGATATAACTTAATAGGATCACTGTAATATAAAAACTAACACATCACTAGACATAAGCATCACTAGGTAATTAATTTTCTCTTCTTTGTTCTAACAGTGAAGAAGCCATAGTCCACCAATAGGAAGTGACCAGCCCATGGTGATAGGATGAGCACTCTGAACTACATTTCATGATCTTCTCTCTAGACTTGAATATTCGAAGTCTTAATACAGAGGGCCAATGAGAGGGAAGGATTTATCTGGGTATGAGCACTACTCTGGTACCTATGAAAAGTCAGCAGACTAGTCTATTGTCTATAGTGTCCAGAGAGAAGGACAGATCTGGGCTACCTTAATTCATTAGGGCACATGCGCTTAGGACATTTCTCTCCACCTCATTTGGAGCTGCAAACAGTTTCAGCTTCCAATATGAAGTAGTGGTTATACTACTCACTGTGTAAAAGAGAACTGTATCTTATTTGGATAATTTTTTTCTCGTTTATGCTTCAGGGACACTTTTTAATCCTACTTATCAGGGATATGCTGAACAAGGTCAGCATTTCTTCCACTTTCTATTTCACAGTTGTTTCTAGATTTTTATCTTTTTTCTATGTTCTTCAAATTTTGTATACATTTAAATAAGCCTCATCCTTTCAACCTGTCTTCATACGGCGGCTAAAGAATAATATTCTCAGAGGGACATTGTGGGAAAGAAGATGGTTCCTTCACCATACCTTAATGCCTTATGCCAGGAAATCACACACTGTAGTCAAAAACCTGGGCAGGGCTACACTGGCTCCTCTACTTACCATCTAAGTCGTCTCAAAAAAAAAAAAAAATTCAGTCTGTCTCCAAGGTTCCAGTTAGTACCTACATGCAAGGATCATGGAGAAGACTACATGAAAGAATGCCTGCAAATTGTCTGGAGAGGTTCCTGGCACATAGCAAGCAAGCAACAAATGTTGTCTATTCTTATTTTTGACGTGATGATGGGGATGATGATGCTGTCACTCCTCTGATTAAAGTGGTTAAAGGTTTAACAGAACCATCAGGATTCATGAAGGAAAAACAGGTGTGGGTGTATCATCAGAAGGCAGTCTTCAGATATTTGCAAAGCTCTGATAAGGAGGAGGGTTTAGAATTCTGCGTCTGTTGAACCAGCATTGAGGGCAGGGCTGTTGAGGAAGGTGTAAACGTCAATATGCATGGACAGGATTCTAGCAGATTAAGCTATACAGTTGAATGATGGGCTGCAGTGAGACTGAGTGGGCTCTACATTGATGAGCAAGGGGTCCATATGGGTTTGAGTGGCTATTTGGGAAGGCTACTGTACGAGGGTATAACATACATATCAAAACGTGAGGTAAAACAAATTAAGCGATAAAGTTCCTGCTGCACTGAATCTACAACTCTTTCAGAGTGTGAATTATTGAGTCATTTTATCCATATCACCATTTTCTCTTCCAGAGCCAAATTTATTTTTAGCTGATCCCAATCCCCCATAGGCAACTGGGTATATGGATTGGGGTTAAGTTTCTGTTGCTTAAAGGAACTCTACAGATTATATTCTCAGTTCTATTTTTCTAGCTTGCTCATCATTTTCTTTCTCCCTTCTGTAGGGGATAAAATATTCTATTCCTGGTCTCAGCCCAAAAGGAATTTGGGGAGAGCATTTTTAGAAAATTGCGTCAAATCATTTTTCCATTTGGCAAGGATACAAAAGGCAGTATTACCTACCCAAATTAATGCAACTGACAACAGATGAAGTTTGGAGTTGGGGGTTTTCTGGGAGCAGCTAAAACACAAAACTGGCTGCTCTTTAAAAATGGAAACTCAGAACATGCAGAGCTGTCTTGGAGGCAGAATCTCCTGGGCAATTTCGAAAGAGAATAATGAAGACGTAGCAATTAAAAAGCACTTTTCTGCAAAATGTCATTACTGTTTAAAGTTACATAACCATTTCTACGGCAGCAGAGGTTCACACAGCAGTCACAGCCAGAGTCGTCTCCTGATGGCCTGTGTCCAACAAAGAGGCCCAGTGCTGACCTCCTACGTGGGCGCCTGAATCCTGCCTGCTTCAATGGGAGCCATAAATAATTTGGAGGGGGATTTGGCCTGTGAAACCACTGTTTGAAAGATATACAGCTGCCGGCTGGGGTGAAAGATTCTGTCCCCACAGTTCCCAAAGACACAACACACACACAGAAAGAGAGAGAGAGAGAGAGAGAGAAAAGAAAACTGAGAAAATCAGAGAGAAAAGGGCTACTGTCATTGCCAAGCATATAAATTTTGCCTCAAAAAACCCAGGCAGGCAATAGTTGAGAGTTTTATTTGAACGTCAGCTCACCCACACTGAACATATGGAATATTTTTCCCCAATCTTTTTATATATTTAAAAAAATCTTGTTATAATTTAAAATGGAATATTTCAGCATTCTGCAGAGCGAGTAGGCAATGTATATGTGGGAACACTCAAGATGTCTTCCTTCTCTTTTCCTGATTTGTACCTCATTCTTTTTCCTTTCAATTCACCTTCGACACATGCATCTCACAATATTTTTTGTAGTTTGTATACAGTCTTTGTGTGCTGAGATATTATTTCTCTTTCTCTGTGTCATGGGATAGGATGTCTCTATTTCCTTGCCTCCCTCCTTCCCGTTATCTCCTAATATTCAATTCTATACTCAGAACACATCAGAAAAATGATGCCCTTTTTTCAGTCCCGGCAATACATCAATATTGTTCCGCCCATAACCTTTGCACTTGCCTTTCCCTGTGCACCGAATATTCTCTCCTCTGATTTCTGCTTGATCTCTTGTCCTGTAATCCAGACCTTCCCAGGCCCACGTTAAAAGGCATCTTCAGTTTTCTTCATAGTATTAATTCCTGGCTGAAATGTTCTTTTGAATTTGTTTTATTTTTAATATTCCCTAGAGTGGGCTCTAGGGAAAAAAGGGCCTGTCTGCCCTCTACGGGCACCCAGAGTGTAAACTCAGGTCAAGCCCAGTGCAGGCTCCAGGCACTTATTTGTGGATCAAAGGAACTTTGAACTTTGAACACTTCCTCCTCCAAGATGAAAAGAAAGGTGGCTCATGAAGCTTGTGGGGTGTTAGAATTTAAAAATGAGATGACCCGGGCAAAGTCTTACAACTAAGGTAACAGAACCAGGACTCCAATCTAGGAATTCAACTTGAGTTGTGACACACTCGAGGGTGACCTGGCTTAGAACTGCTGTGGTGGCTGCAGTACAGAGCAACCTCTGGCAATGTTTTATCTTCCCTGAAACTCAGGGGCTCTTTGCCTGTGACGTTGAAACGCTAAATTCCTAGTATACTAACGAAGAGAGAAGGGGCAAAAACTTCAGCCATAGCCCAGCTGCCAAGGACTCAAGGTTTGTGCTCTCTAACTCCCATACACACATTCATATGCTGAAACCCTCACTTGCAATGCCATGGTATAAGGAGGTGGAAACCCTGGAAGGTAATTAGCTTTAGATGAGGCCATGTGTGTGGTGCCCTTGTGATGGGACTAGTGCCCTTATAAGTAGAGGAAGAGACAGGAGAAGAGACATCTTGTAGCTATCTGCAAGTCAGAAAGCAGTCTGTCCCTCCCTCACCAGACACCATATCTGCTGGCACTTGATCTTGGATTTCCCAGCATCCAGACCTGTGACAAATAATTTCCTTCTGTGTAAGCCACCCAGTCTAGGGTATTTTGTTACAGCAGCGTGAGCAGACCAAGACACTGTCATAATTAAGTATTCAACAAATGTTAAGTTCCCTCCATTTAACCAGATATCAGATCATATTCATTACCTGGACCAAACTTGAACCCTTCTAGAAAAATCCTCCTTGAATAGCACCATTTGAGCCAGTATAAAACATGCCAAGAATGCATTTTCTCATATCAGCATTAAAATAATTATTATTGGTCTTTGTTTTTAATCACTCTATAAATTTTCCTTCCTTCCTTCCTTCTTTCCTTTCTTCCTTCCTCCCTCCCTCCCTCCTTTTCTTCTCTCCTTCCTTCTTCCAATTTATCTTTTCTTCTTTCCTTCCCATCTTTCTGCTTCCCTTCTTTCACACACATTCCTGAAGACCTACTATGTGCCAGGCACCTGTGCTGTGGATATAGGGGGGATGAGGCAGACAACTC